GCTCTTCTGCCCAGAGGCCTCCTTCTGGGGCTGCCCCTTCCCCTGCCCCCATCTTGCCCAGGGATCACTGACCAGGGCTCGCCTAGCCAGGAAAGTCAATGGAGGAAGGAGGGTGGGGTTGGGGCGGGAACAGAGCTTCCATTGTCTGAGGCTTCAGCCATTGACCAAGCCTCACCCCTGCTTATAGCCTGGAGGGTGCTCCTCCCAGAGCCTCCCTCCCCCTTCCCACCCTCAAGCCCGTTGAGTGGCCTGGCGCCTAGAGGGCGAGGGCAGGAGCTGGCCTTCTTGTCCCCCTGGCATTCGGAGGCCCTGCCATGGGAGGGCCTGGAAGATGCTCACCCCCTTACCCGGGCACTCACCCAGCACTTTTGTCCACGGGGCCTGCCTGCCTGGCAGTCCCGGCTCACAGCCCAGTGACTCCCCTCTCGGGGGCTGCATGGCCTGAGAACACCCTCCAGCTTCTCAGCTTCCTTGTCCTCATCTGCGTGGGAATTAAGTTAGCCAGAAACAGAAATGTTCGGCACGAGGCCTGGTACATGGCAGTGCTCAGATGCCAGCCATTATCATTTCGCAGATGATCATTTTGTGATCTCGGGGGTGATGAGGGTAAGGAAGGGCAGGGTATGTATTCTGGTCCGTGGTCGGCCGGAACTCAGTTGAGCTGTCTGCAGAATGGGACAACGCTGAGTGCCCTCAGGGACGGCAGGAACTCTGGGAAGGGAACTAACATTTATGAAGAAGCTACCAGCTTTATTAGACGTCATTTCATTTACATTTGCCTCCGACCAATGGGGACAGGACACACAGAGAGTTTTTTCAGTGGGTAGAGCGTTGGCCTGAGGACTGAAGAGTCCTGGGTTCAATTCCTGTCAAGGACATATGCACAGTTTGCAAGCACAGTCCCCAGGAGGGGATGTGTAGAAGGCAGCCAATCAGTGATTCACTCTCATCATTGATTGTGAAAAGCATGGCTTTTGGGTTCAAAGGCTTGAGAAAGAGCTGATGTGCAAATTGACACACAAGACAAGGCAAATTAATTTTGAAATGGTGGGGGGGAGCCAGGGAAAAGCTTAACTGTAGTGGCTAAGTTCCACTGAGTCTCTTTCCCAACTGCTTTTATTTACTAGAATACACAATTGCTTTTAGAAATGCAAACATACGTATCAATGGTAATGTTTCGTAAACAGTAAGATTATCAGGTTAGGGGGGAGTTTGCTTTAGGCCAGTGGTCGGCAAACTGTGGCTCTTTGGCCCATTGAGTTTTTAGCAGAGGCCAGCTTAGGAGTACCTAATTAAGTTAATAACAATGTATCTACCTATATAGTTTAAGTTTAAAAAATTTGGCTCTCGCCAAAACCGGTTTGGCTCAGTGGTAGAGCGTTGGTCTGCGGACTGAAAGGTCCCGGGTTCGATTCCCGTCAAGGGCATGTACCTTGGTTGCGGGCACATCCCCAGTGGTGGGTGTGCAGGAGGCAGCTGATCGATGATTCTCTCTCATCGATGTTTCTAACTCTCTGTCCCTCTCTCTTCCTCTCTGTAAAAAAATCAATAAAATATATTTAAAAAAAAATTTGGCTCTCAAAAGAAATTTCAATCGTTGTGCTGTTGATATTGGGCTCTGTTGACTAATGAGTTTGCCGACCACTGCTTTAGGCCATTGAGTCAGCAGTAGGTAATAAAATGCAAATTCACCCTCTTAATATCAAAGGAGTCCAAACTCAGCCCTCTGGTGGATTTCTCGCTTTTATAGTAATTACTGTTGACCTTGGTTTCCAGCAATTGATGTTTCTATCTCTCCCTCTTCCTTCCTCTCTGAAGTCCATAAAACAAACACAATAACATCTTGCCCTGGAGAGCTGCAGATTGTCTGAGGTTGGGTCCTGGGCGGCAGGCTGAGCCCTGCACGCCTCTCTTCATGGGTGCTGAGTTCTGGTCATGCTCCTCTTGCCCTCGCTCCTCTGGTGTTTTCTTGGATCAGGCGCCTCATCTCTCCAGGGCCCACCTGCTCCCGACTTCGAGGCCGATGGCCACTTGTGCTGAGCCTGCAAGGGCAGAGCGTGGGTGTCCTGTCCCCCTGCAGACACTAGTGTGGGTTCCTCTTCCCACTGTCCAGCTGGCTCCCTGCCTCTTCCTCTTGTCTTCCTGGATGGAGCAGAGGGCACTGGGGAGGGGGGAGAGGAGGGATGGCTGGTGGTGGGGGAGAGGGCGGTAGCTGAAGTTCTCACCTGGACCTGTGCTCCTCTTTCCATTGGGCAGGAAGTCCCACACCTGCAGCTGTCCAGGCCCAGGGACACCCCAGCCTCACGGCCTCCACAGAGCAGGTCCCAAGCAAGGCGAGGTTTCCAGGCCTCTGGCCTCCGTTCAGTGTAGCTCAGCAGCTGTTGTCTCGCACGTGGGCCAGGGCTCCAGACACTGAGATGAAAGAAGCGGTCACAGTCCGGTGAGGGAGGCAGTTATAACAGGGGCCGTATGGGACCCAGGACCACCTGAGCTCTTTGATAATAGCCCCTCCCTGGCCGCTTCCCTGAGCTACTGAACCTTAGACCTAAGTCACTTCTGTTTTTTTTACAAAGCTCCACCACCAGGAGAGCCACTGCCTGAAATGGTTCTGGGGAGCACTCACAGAGGAAGAACTGGGTCTGGGTTTTGAAGGTTGAGTAGGAGTTTGCTTGCTGATTGTGAAAGAGAATTCTACCCGGAGGGAGCAAATAGCCTGAGCAAAAGGCCCAGAGATGGGGGACAAGTTGGCATGGTCACAAGCCTGACAGCTCTTCATGAGGGCTGGAGCAGAGTTCCCTGTAAGGCCAGGAGCTGTTGAGGCCAGTGGGGAGGGCTGTGTGTCATCTAGGGCCTGGCTTAGGGCCTCAACTTTACTCTGAAAGCGACGAGGCAAAGGCAGAGGGTGGTCCGGTATTGAGCGTGATCGTCTGAGACACACCCTGCAGCCCGAGCTAGGGCTTCCGCCCCGGCTCCCAGCACCTCACCCTGCCTGAATGTGGCCCTTCTGCACCAAGTAGCAGGAAAGGCACCTTTTGGGGGTCTGCCTGCCCAGCCAGTATGGCAGTCATCTTTAAAGAGATGACCCCCAAGAGAAGAACTCATCCCCTCTCACCACGCATGACATCGTTACCATTGTAATGAACACAGTGGCCCGTGTGCACGGAGAGCTGACTCTGTGTGGAACACCGTGCACATCCCCACAGCCCTCCTTCCATCCCCGTGGGAGCTCTGCAAGGCAGGGACCAGTGAGAGAGGTGCTCACTGAACTGCCTGCAAGTGCAAACTGGATAGGAACTCAGATCTGCAATAAATTTCATCTTTGTAACCACTGCGGCCTTGTCTCTGCCGCCCATGACCTGGCTCCTCGCGTGTAGCAGCCCCTGGGATGGTCTGAGCAGATGCGGTCTCCACTTTAAAGAGACAAAGCTCCGGGCCATGAGGGGCCTTGGAGAGGTCAAGGTCACTGAGGGGAAGAGGCGGAGCCCAGCCTGCAGGTGGATCCGGCTGCCTCAGGCCGCTGTCCCAGATCCCCATAGCTTGAAGCCCTGAGGTCTCAGCGTCCCTCTGTGAGCCCACCTAGGGTCCCCTTGGGGTATGGAGTGCAGACATAGAGTCCCATTGGCTGTCCCCCATTTTGGTGGTGACAGCTTTAAGGACAGACTTTGACCAAGTCTGCCAGGGGCTCTGCCACTGAGCTCCAGTATGCTGCTGGGAATCCCGGGGGGCAGGTGGTCCCCCTTTACAGATGAGGACACCGAGGCTCAGCTCGCCTGCCAGCGGAGCTGGACTCCAGCCTGGGCCCCTGACGCCCAAGGCAGAGCTGCAGTCATCACCGCAGAGCCCGACAGCACAGACAGTGGGTCTCAAGGACCTTCACGGAGCTTTGCACATTTTACTTCTAACTTCCCCAGGCACCCTTTGAGGTGGCTACTCTGCAATCTCCGTTCTGCAGGCGAGTGAACCGAAGCCCAGAGTGGGAGTTAAGTAGCTCATCCAAGGTGTCGGCTGCTGAGTGGTGGCACCCGCCCAGGTGGTAGCGGGAGAACTCTTTCCCTCGCTGCCAGGCAGGGACAGCTGGCAGGTTTGCCCCAGGGCCCAGGGAGCCACCATCGGCACTGGCTTCTGGGTGGCGGGAGCCCCCACTGTGAGGCCAACAGACACTCTGCCTCCCGCTCCGAGCAGGTGGGATTGTGCCCTGTCTTGCACCATCTACCTCTCTGCCCTTCCTTCCTTCCTTCCTTCCTTCCTTCCTTCCTTCCTTCCTTCCTTCCTTCCTTCCTTCCTTCCTTCCTTCCTTCCTTCCTTCCTTTTCTTTCCCCTTGACTGGAATTAAACCCAGGACCCTTCGATTCCCAGGTTGACGCTCTATCCATTGAGCCAAATCAGCCAGGGTCCCTTTCCTTTCTTTATACCCACGTGCCATGGCTGGCCAACCCCATTGGGCAGGACAGGGAGGGACAGAGCGAATGGTCTTCAGCGGGGCTCTAGGCAGGGGCTGGTGAGAGCCGCTGGGCTCAGGGCCTGTGGTTATTGGACAGCCAGGAGCAGGAAGTGTCCGGCCACCTCCCGGAGAGCTCAGGTGTGAGAAACCCCTGGAAGGTGGGGGCTGAGCATGAACCTGGTCTCTGGGGCCGGAGCTTCACCAGTAAGTCGGAAGGCACAGGAGGGTATTGCAGCTGGACCCACCAGGCTCCTGAGGGTCCCGGGCATTGGTTAAAGCGAAGGCCAGGGGCTTTCTGGGAAGATAGGGTAATTATGGTCCTGCAGCTGCTGTTTTTTCCGGGTTAATGATTTATGATGCATGGGGGCTGGGCCCTCCTGGGCTCTCGGGCTGCTGGGGAAGGAGTGTGAGAGCTGGCGACTGGAGTGCACAGGTCCTGAGCCAGTGACCCCTCTCTGTGGCTGAAGCTTTGGCCTTGAACGTCACCTGATTAGACTTCTGGCCTTCTTTTCACAGGCGAGCGGCTGGGACGGTGCCGGTCTGAGCTGGACTTTGTCTGATGGCTTCCTCCAGTCCTCCACCACAGGCTGCCTCAGGTACTGTGTCCTGGGCTCCCTCTGATCGGGCTAGGGGGCTAGCAGAGGGCCCCGGGATGTGTGAATCTGGCTTCGCTGTTAGTTAGCTGTGTGCGCTCCGGCAGGTGACTTCCCCTCTCGGCCACGTTTCCTTGTCTGCAACAGGGAGAGGATGATTCCCTCCTCAGAGCAGGCTCCCGACAGAGGTCTATTCTTTCCCTGTGTCCTGAAGGCCCCCTGGAGAGGTGGGCAGAGCCTGTCTGGGATGGAAGTGTGCCAGCGGATGAAGCTTATGGATTGAGTGTGGGGACCGAGGGGGCAGGGGAAGGCCGGGTCATCTCTCTCCATCTGTGACGGTGCCAGAGTCAGGCCAGCCAGTGATAGGGCTTTCAGAATGGCTCCAAAAACAACACGGAAAAACCCACCTCCCAACAAAAAAAATACAGTTATTTGTTGTTCATCTGAAATTCAATTCGACATCCTGTATTTATTTTATCTGGCAACCGAGGCAGTGGGGCCTCAGCCACCGCAGGTGGAATTCAGGCCCCGCCTGGGAGGAGCTGGGCCCAGGCCAGTTTACCCACTGAGCAGGTGCAGAGAACATGGAGGGGTCCAGTGTCCTGTCCTCTTGCCCCCACGAGGGGAGGCGGACAGCGGAGGGGTAACCAGGAGGGCTCTTTCTCAGCCTGACCCTGCCAATGCCCCGTGGTGGCTGGATTATCTCTGTGGCTCCCTGTCATCACCCGTGACCTGGGGATAATCATGACACCCTCCCTTATGGTGCAGCTTACATAGGGGTGAGGCTTTGTCGTGTGGTAATGGATCGCTCAGTGAATGGAAGCTGTTCCCGCTGTGGGGCGTTGGCAGGATGCTGCGTGCGCTGCGTGTGCCCTGCACTGATCCGTGTTCTTCTCCGGAGGGTAGGGCTCAGCAGGTGGATCGGCCTTCTCCACAGCAGGAGTGGCTTTCTGGGCCCGGCGACCTGGCCTCAGTGGGGTTGGCTCCCCCGAGGACGGGGTGTGTCCAGGAGCATCAAATGTGTGTGGCCAGCTCTGGCCAGGCCACCTGTCCAGATGGGTGGAAGAGTTTCTTTTCTTTCTTTTCTTTTTTCTTCTTTTAATATTTTATTTATTTTTTTACAGAGAGTAAGAGAGAGAGAGAGAGAGAGAGAGAGAGCTAGAAACATCGATGAGAGAGAATCATCAATCAGCTGTCTCTTGCACACCCCCTACTGGGGATGTGCCAGCAACCAAGGTATATGCCCTTGACCGGAATCGAACCTGGGACCTTTCAGTCCGCAGGCCGACGCTCTATCCACTGAGCCAAACCGGTTTCAGTTGGGAAGGGCTTCTTCATTTAGCGGCCAATTATCCAGGGATGGGCCTCCTGATTTTTCCTTCTGATAAGGAGTGAGGTCTGGTTGCCTGGGACCCAGGAGCCTGGGAACAGCACTAGGGACAAGGTCATCTCCTGATTCATGGCCGTGACTTTGGGTCCTGGGATGTGCCCACCCCGGCCCCTGCTACCATGGTCACCTTGCTCCTTTCTCTCTCTCACGTACCAAGGGGCCCAGCATGGAGAGCGAGAACAAAATCATTTCATGATGAAATCTATTCCATCCCTTTCAAGAACTACTGGATGGGTGTTCATTGTCCCAGGTCTGCCTGATGTTGCTGGTGATTGTCTTCCAGTTGAGCCAGGCTCTTGGCCATTTCCTGACTCTCGGAGAGCTTCCTGCTGTCTCACCAAGTAAAATCCAGATTCCCGAAGCAGCTCTTGTCGTCTTACTGCTCTTCCTTCTTGCTCACGTGTTCAGCTCCACGGGGCCCCTCCATGTTCTCTGCACCTTCTCTGGGCTCAGCCTGGAACGCCTCTGCCCCCCCCCCCCCCATCCTGTCGGGCCTTTGTTCATCCTTCAGTGCTCTACGGGGGGCAGCCTTGTGCCCGATGCCCCAGCTGCCATGGGCCCCTCTCCTCTCTGTCCGCGCCAGCTCAGTCTCTGGGTTTTATGTTTCTCTCTTGTCTCCCCTGCCTGCCTCTCCTCGCAGGGAGCACCTTGGCATTGAGAGGTCCCATCTTCTGGGCTGGTGTGCACAGGTCATGGCCCAGGGGCTGCCAGGAACAGTTCATTGAACGTGGGAACGACTGTGCGGGTTGATGGCTGACTGAGGCCATTTGTACTTTCAAAAAAAGAAGGTGCAGAAATGGCCCGAGTCCCAGGACATGGTCTGGGCCTGGCCTGTGAGTAGGGAAGGCCTGCCCACCTCACCCAGGGTCAAGGACTGGGCTGTGACTGAGGGCAATAGTAGTAGTAGTAGTAGTAGTAGTAGTAATAATAATATAATGATGATGATGCAATAACAGTGATAATAAACGGAATCATCATCATAAGAATGACTGACATTCAGTGAGCACATACCTGGCACTTTATATGTGTTAGTTCATTCACCCATCCTCCCAACAACATGATAAGGTGGTTACTATTATCCTCAGTTTGGAGAGCAGGAGGCTGCAGCTGGGCGGGTAGACTGACTTGACGCTCACACAGCCAGCGTGTGGGAGAGCTGGAGTCTGACCCGGATGGATGGAGACTGTATTCACCACTGTGATACCAGCTGGGTGCTGGGCGTAAGGGAGTCCCTCCCCGCCATTGCCTGCCTGGCAGACGCCAATGGGCAGGCACCCTGGGCGCTGCAGCCCTCTCGGTCAGGAGGGGCCTGCATCCCGCTGCCCGAAGTGGGATTGTTAGTCATTTGCTTCAATATTTTTTAAAAATATACATTTTATTGATTTTCTACAGAGAGGAAGGGAAAGGGATAGAGAGCTAGAAACGTCGCTGAGAGAGAAACATCAACCAGCTGCCTCCTGCACACCCCCCACTGGGGTTGTGCCCGCAACCAAGGTACATGCCCGTGACCAGAATCGAACCTGGGACCCTTCAGTCTGCAGGCCGACGCTCTATCTACTGAGCCAGACCGGTTTCAGCTGTTTCAATATTTTTTAAACTTTCAAAACCACAACCCATAGATAAGACGACAGGAGTATATGGGAGTGTGTGAATTCAACAAATACTTACCGTGGGCCTATCATGTGCTTGGCACTGGGCCAGATGCTGGAGATCCAACAATGGGTGAAACAGGCAAGCACGCCTGCTCTCGCAGAGGAGACGGACAGGAAAATGAATGAAACTTGGAGCACATCACATACTCACAGGGCCACAGAGAGAAATGTGGCCCCCAAGGGAGGGAGGCCCAGTGTTTCCGTGGGCAGCTCTGGTCAGGGCAGCCTCGCTGGGAGGTGTGCAGAGTGAAGACTGGAAGAAGGGGAGAAGGGGAAGACACCTGGGGAAGAGCATCTGGACCCTGGGCGGGAGGACAAAGGTCCCGAGCAGCAGCACGTGTGGCTCATTCATGGTGCAGCAAGGAGGCCAGGGTGGCTGCAGTGGACTCAGCGTGGGAGAGCAGTGGAAGGTTCTACACCCCCCCACACACATGCACACACATACACATGCATGCACACACATGAAATGGGATGCATACACATATTACCTGAAACTGAAACACTTTTATATGTCACATTAACTGAACAGAAGTGTAACAGACGATATCAAAGCAATACTAAATGTGATGTTATGACTATTACAACATTTAAAAATACCTCCAATAAGCAGTCCAGACTCAAAACAGAACGCTGCCTGGGAAGCTCCTAACTGCGTCTGTGACCCACTGGTGGGTAGAGACCTGTCACGTGACAACAGGACCCGCTTCCCACGTGGGCTTGCATTTCCTTTGTTAGTGCATCTCCCGGGCCAGGGGCCCACACGGCTCCCAGGAGGCAGCGGGCTTAGTGAGAAGAGAGGGACAGAAGCTAAGCCAGATCTGTGTTCAGACACGGCTCCCCACTTATGAGCTGTGTGGCTGCGGGAACTTTTGCTCTGGAAACCCCGTGGCCTCGTGGCATGAGATGGGGCCGTTGTGAGGTTCAGCGGGGGGCTCTGTGTTGTTTTTTCTCTGCACCTGCGAAGGCGCTCATGCCCAGAGGAGCCCACCTGCCGCTGTTGGCCCTTGGGGTCCCCCAAGCTCCAGGAGGGGCGGGGTCCTCAGCTCAGCAGCCTCCATCTGGACATCATCCCACAGAGGAAGCTGGGGAGGAAGGGTGAACTCTGGGTTCTACCGAGGAAAGAGATTCTGGGATTTCACACATTCACACCTTCCATTTTTCTGCTCTGGAGTCGCTGTGGGGGAGGGGTTGGACTTTTCTGGGCTGGAATCAGATCTGTCTGTCTGTCTGTCTGTCTGTCTGCTGGTCCATCCACCCATCTCTGCTCCATCCACCTCCCTGCCCGTCCACTCATCCTCCGGCTGTGAGCACCCGTGGACCAGACCGTCATGTCCTCAAGGATCTCAGGTGGGAGGGGCAGTGGTTACAGCAACCGGTGCTGTGATGTAACACAAATACCAGGCACGGTGCCAAGGCAGGAAAGAAGACGAAAGAGTCGCTGGCCCATCCACTGTAGGCTCCAACCTGCTATGAAAAGTGGAGGTCGGCGCAGGGGCTCGAGCAGAGTCCCAGGCTGAGCAGACGAGGCAAAGCGAACCTGATCATCCTCGCTGGCCCTGGCCCCGGCCCCACCTCGAGCAAGCCTGAGACAGAGCACTGGCCTGGTCGCCCATGACCGATGCCCATCACTGCACTGCAGTGACACCGAGTTGGGCACAGCACGTGGAAAATACGAGAGTGTGCACACGGGCTGTCCCTGACCCGGGGGGTTCCCATATCACTAGAGGCGTGCCAGAACAGACAGACAGTGAGAAGTAAATTGTGCAAAAATGTCCTTGAATGACACTGGCCAGAGCCTGTTAATAAACAAACAAACAAACAGCCCCCTTACTTACAAAATAGGAAACCAGGAAACGAGATGTTGACTAACGCGTCAGATGCGCCCATGCTCACCGGGGAGGCGTGCTCTCGGCCCCTCCATCCTCTCCCATCTGCTCAGAGCCCAGCCCAACCTCGGCCACCTCAGGGGCACAGGAGGGCTGCTGGCCCCGGCGTGGGTTTGCTCTCGTCTCTGGGAATTGAACTCACTCCCTCGCTCGGACCTGCGCAGCTGCTCACCCATCTCCCGCCACCTCTCCCTGGGCCAAACCCCGAGACCCTTCCGCCCAGCCCCTAACTCCTCCCCGCTTCCAGGAGATCAGCTGGTTCCTGGAGGAGGCCCAGGCCCCTCCCCAGAGGCGGAGGACGACCCCGGAGAGCCCTTCGAGTTTGACGACAGCGACGATGACGAGGACACCAGTGCTGGCCTGGGAGCGGACGCGGACGCCCCACTGATCCGTTTGGACGTGGCCCCTGGCACGGGTAAGGTGCTCTGGGAGCCTCGGGTCCTCCCATCCCCCGGCCTCTGGGCAGGGGTGGGGCTCCAGGCTCCCAGGCTTGCCTCCGGTCCCTGTGCTGTCCCCAGGAAGCAGGAAGCGAGAAGCCCCAGGAAGCGAGAAGCCCCTGGGAAGAAGCTGCATTCCCTGGCCTCCCCTGGGAACGAGGATTCCTAGCATTCCTGCAGCATCTGGTGGCTTTGGCACTCAGTAAATGGAAGTGGCTGGCCCAGCTCTGGGCTCTGCCTCCAGAGCCTCTCTCTGTGCAGCTTCTCCCAGGGAATCACCCTCGCCAGAGGCTGCTCCTCCCAGAGAGCGGGTGCCCGGGGGCGGGCGGGAGGGCCCTGATAAGGCCGGTGTTAAATGGCAGCTGCTGGGCCCTTGGTTTAGTCATCTGGGACTGGACCAGCAGGAACTTCCTGCAGCCTTGGGGACAAGGGACTCCTTGAGGAGCTGGGGGTGGGGGACAGGCCCTCAGTGGGCTGGGCCTCTGGTTCTGGTTGGAGTTGGGGTGTGGGCCACGGGGTGGAAGTGGGGGTGGTGCAGGCAGGACAGGTAGGGGAGCTTGAAGACTGAAGAGACGGGGAGAAGGAGGCGGGTACTGCAGGCGCCCAGGCCGGCCAGGCCCCGGCTCCCGCACCACGGGTGTCCACCGGGCCCGGCCCGGCCTGACGGGCTCTCCTTCTGTTCTTCTCCACAGACCCAGACCCAGCGGCCTCACCGCCCCAGACACAGTAAGTGAGCCTCCGCTCCTTCCTTTTGGGGTGTGTGTGTGTGTGTGTGTGTGTGTGACTGGAAAAGAGGGAGACTGGGCAGGTGGTGTGGGGAAGGGTGGGGCTGGAGCCAGGATGGCTCAGGGCGGGAGAAACGCGGTTCCAGATCCCTGAGCCCCAGGGAAGAGGTCGGTCCCTACACCTCGCGTTACTCCAAGCCCTGGCTCTGCCCCTCGCGAGCGAGCTGTGTGGCCTGAAGGAGTCATGTGAGTCCTCTGAGTGTGAGTCTGAGCACATGCGACATGGAAACAGCAAGTCCTCACCCCCATGTGTCGTGGCTGAGGATGAGCCGACAGTCTGGTATTCGGGCTGATGTCTTTGCCATCGCTGCTTGTTTTTGCCAATCCTGGTCTCCTTCCTGTGACTGTTGTCGGGGACTCTGTCCTTAGCGGTGGGCCTGTCTGGGGCAGAGCAGCCTCATGGTTAAAAGCCTGGCTTGGGGGGTGACTGCCTGGGTCTCACTCAGGCCCCAGCACTGGCTGTGAGCCCGTGGGTAAGCCACAGTCCTCCGGGCTTTGGTGTTCCCGTCTGTGAAATGGGCACTGCTTCCCTCCTAGAAGAGCATATTGTTCCGCCAGAGGCCCAGCATGGCAGCCGGCCCCTGGCCTCGGCGGCTCCTTCTCCTACCTTCCCTCAGGGGGCTTGGGCAAGGCGGCATTTGGGGGCGGGGGCCGTGGGAGCTGAGGCCTCTCTCAGCCTCTTAGAGCTTTCCTCAGTGCTGCTTGCTGCTGGGGCCATGGTGTTTAGGGATCCCCTTCTAAGGGGAGAGTTTGTGGGTTTTGGCTGGGGGGGAGGGCAGCCACCCCCAGCAGCAAGGGGAGGGATGGTGGAGACTCCCCTTGTCTTCCAGCTGGGAGTGGGGGATGACTGGTTCTCAGGCAGGTGCGGCCTCACTGGAGATGAATCCAGAGATGTGTCCCTGGGCCCCTCGAGCAGAAGACAGTCCTGGATTCAAATCTCTGTCAACACAAGTCCTTGTAGGTGCTCATTTGTCCCAGGGGGCGGGGGCGGGCCCTGGGTAATTAAGCCTCCAGTGGGAGCTGGCTGCTCCTCCCTGATGAGGGACCTGAAATGAATCAGCATTTCACCCACGGGGCCGTCCTGGGGTGGCTCTGAACTCAGGCTGATGGCTCCAGGAGGGCTGGGGACGAAGCTCCTGGAAGCTCAGTCTGCTGGGGGAGGCAGGCACTTGGCAGTGGGACAGAGGAGGGTGGCCAGGGAGCTGTGACATGGCCCGAGGGAAGCCAGGAGGGGATCTTGGCTGAGCAAGTGAGTGTGACTTCACTGGTGGGAGAGGGGAAGGTGGGAGGAGCGTCCGAATGGAGGAAGCTCCTGGGTGGAGGCAGGGCTGTGAGCAGGGGTCACTCTCCCAGAGACCCCCCTTTTGGTCAGGAGCACAGCAGCCTGGCCCCTCCCGGCCTGCCTTCTCTTCGTGTGCCCTGCAGACCTGATCGTGTGCCTGGCTGGGGCTGGGTGCCTCACTGAGCTGACCCGGTGGTTCTCAGCGCTGCCGCCTGGTGCGTTGCTTTCACCAGGCCACTGGTCAGGACAGCTCAGGGGGCGCCAGGCGTTTCTGAAAGAGAGGCCCAGGCCACCGGCCACTCCGCAGACACCCCTCGCCCTGGAGCCACCCGCCCCCTCGCACGCCATCTCCAGGAGGCACCAGGACTCCGGAGGTTCAGACTTCACTAGCGGGCTGGCTTTGGGCTGCCGGTGACCCTCGCTGAGCCCCAGTTTCCCCAGGAACAAGGTGGAAATAATGGTACCCGCCTGAAAGCATCCTGAGGACTGAGCGAGACGGATTGTGGGAAGCACGGAATTCACGCGGCGTGTTTGCTTCTGCTCCCACCTCCTGTCCAGTTTGGGTGTGTCCAGCGCCATGGGGCTGGAGGGGCAGAGAAGGTGTGCTCAGTGCTGCAGACTCCTGGGCTGGGCCTGCAGTGCCAGGGCTGGAGTCTCATCCACAACAGGCACGGATGTAGATCAGCTTGGGTGTCCTTCTGGGACTGACATTCATGGGACGTGAGACCCTGGGAACACTGATCACAGTGGGCGTGGCGAGAGGCCTCCATCCCAGCCTCTTAACTTTACAAATGGGGAGGCTGAGGTGGACAGGGCTGGGGGGAAAGGGGACTAGCCAGGGCAAAGGGGGAACCTTGCCCAAGATGCTGGCGGCCTCCTGACTCCTTGTTCAGTGCTCTCACCCTTCTCCCAGCTCCATTTCCTCCCTTCCAGGCCTTCCTTTCCTTCTGTTCCAGCTCCTTCCCTGTGCGGTGATTTTCCACTTGGAGTCCTCTGGGAGATGAATCCATCCAGACCCAGTTCCTCCTCCTTGTTACCCAAGAGAAAGGAAAGAAAAATATTGATTTTTAAAAAATACTTCCCTGAAGGTAGTCACTAAGCAAACACTGCTTTGACAAAACAAATCTTCGAGTTTTCACCTCTTGTTACTGCATTTTCCCCGTGGCCCCTGCCCCAGGTTTGGAAATGGCCTTGGGCTTTGCCTGGCTGCCCACGTGGCCTCCAGGAAAGCTCCTGGTGGTACAGAGCTGCAGCCTCAAAGGGACCTCCGTCCTACCAGGGCCTCGAGGAAGGGACACAGGGTCCGTTCTCATGCCCGCTTCCCAGCTGGTGGCAGGAGCGTGGTGGGTAGAGTGGGGGCCTGGGAGCTCAGGCTCTGGGCCGCAGAGCTGGCTTCAAGTCTTGGTCTGGTCACTAGCTGTGCGTCGCTGGGCAAATAGCTTCCTGTGCCGAACCTCACTTTCTTAATCAATAAAATGGTGATAACAAATCTACTCTCTTGCAGGGCTCTGTGAGGCAAACGTAAATTAATATTTATCCGGTGCTTAGTCTGGCCAGCTTGTACTGGCTGCTCCAAATATATTTGCTGTTGTTATTCTGGGTCCTGGTGTAGGTTTGGTTTTAGAGGGAGCTGGTTGGGATCTGCCTCCTGGGAATTGGACAGACCTGGCTTCGATCGGGCTCTCCTCCCTCAGCTACCCCCCCTCCCGCCCCCCAGGAGTCTGCACAGGGGAGGGAATACACCTGCCAGACGGACAGTTGCAAGGGCAGTAGAGGCTGATTGGAAATCCAGGCCCAGCGCTGTTGGGTCTGCCCCTGGCTCAGAGGCCCGTGGACTTCCTGGTCCCTTTGCCTGCTTGGCTGGCTTGCCCAGAGGAGGAATGAGGCGTCTATGGGGTAAACAGAGCTGCTGGCATTGCTGGGTGTGTGTTATGCCGAGGTCAGTGGGGTGGGGTTTAGGGTTGGGCTACCCTACTCAACCACCCCAGGAGTGAGAGTGGCTGGGATTCCATCTGTCTTGCTGCTGTGTTAAAGCAACCTTATAAGTGCTTAGCTAACTGGCTGCACTTTTTCTTTTTCATTAAAAAAAAAAAAAAATATATATATATATATATATATATATATTTTACTGATTTTTACAGAGAGGAAGGGAGAGGGATAGAGAGTTAGAAACACTGATGAGAGAGAAACATCAATCAGCTGCCACCTGCACACCTCCCACTGGGGATGTGCCTGCAACCGAGGTACATGCCCTTGACCGGAATCGAATCTGGGACTTTTCAGTCCACAAGCCAACACTCTATCCACTGAGCCAAACCGGTCAGGGCTGGCCGCACTTTTTCTTCCCTTAACAGGACACATCTATTACCAGGTGGTGGTAGTAGTGGGCCCTGGAGACCATCCTTCGGGTCAGGGTCAGGCCAAGAGGAGGCCAGGCTGAGGGAAGCAGCGTATGAACAGAATGGAATTAGCCAGAGTGCCCGCCTGCAGCCTGGCCTGTGTGTGGGAGCAGGGGGAGCAGTGAGACAAGGCAGGAGAGGCCTCCAGCCCAGAGGAAACTCCCCCTGGGGAGGTCAGTCATGGAGGTGTCACTCTGGTTTCACCAGTTGCTGCAGACCCACTGGAGCTGTTTGGAACCCTGGACTTGACCTTAAACTTGCCATTTCCCCAAATCCTTAGTAATAATCACAGCCTTTTGCGTCCTGTCCTGCAGGGTCCATGTGGGCAGGGGAGTCCCTCCTGGGTGGGTTATGGGGCCCCCTTTTCCATCAAAGACCCTCTCTGGCCCCTCGCCCCTAAGTTAGGGAAGCTGTAGTTGGGTGTTTTTCTGTTTCCCACACTGGCTAAATGGGTTTCCTCATCAGAGTGATGGACTTTGGATCAGGGACCTTTGAGAACCCAGTATACAAGCCGCACTGTCTCCCCTGACCAGGTCACACCGTTTGTGACATTGAGGGCTGCCGGGGTTCTTGTCCCAGCCTTACAAAGGGTTCAGCATTCTGGAAAAAAGGGCTGCGTGTAGATTCAAGAAGGAGTCCATGGACGATAGATAGTTTTGAAAGGCATTGGGAGTCAGAGGAGCTTCAGCTGAAGGCGCTAGAAGACTCCCACCTTGGCCAAGGACCCTGCTTTTATTATACAATTTGTCCCAGGGCAAGGCGAGGATAGTCTCCTGGGGAGGATGTTCTCCGAGGCCCATCTAGGAATCCAGCTGCCCAGATGCCCAACTTCCTCCCTCGAGGTCCAAGTCCACGTGAGAGGTGCTGGCCAGTGGGGATAAGCCCAGGAAAGGGCAGGGCTGGTATATCCTTTGATACTCTATACTTCAAAGGGTAGGGTATCAAAGAATATACAGAGACATTATCAGTTTGGAGAATAGCCAGCTCAGGTGTTTGGCCAACAGGAGGCAATAAAATGCCCTGAGCTGTCTGCCAGCAGACAATTATTCTATTCAGGTTTGGGGGAAATGCCGTTTAGCCGTTTCCAACAGGTAAACAACAAGCTCCCCAAGCTTCACCCCGCTTTTGGTAAAACTCTTGTAATTATTATCTGCTGGGATTGGTTCTGGTAGAGGATTCTTTCAGGAATGCAGTGAGACCCATCTTCTTCAGCTGTTATCCCCGGTGCCCGGCAAACACAGTGCAATACTAGTGGCTTGC